AAAGAGATTTTTTTTATAACACTATGATGAATAATTAAAATCAACAATTAGTAATAAGCTTAGTGAAAGGAAATTTTATTTTATTTTTTTAAATATTAAAAAAACAAATATTATTTTGTGAAAATTTCTAAATGAAAAATTAGAAGTTTAAAACGGTATCGTAGTTATGTGGGCCCGGCATTGTGGTAGTAGTAGATACGCTAGTATGTAACATATCTAAATTTCCTTTGTGCACCAAAAGGAAAAATTAAAAAGATTAGATTTCGTTCAAGGATTTAGAAGATGACGATCCTTTTCAAGTTTGGTGGGATACTGAGCAATCCACCACACCGCCAAAAGCACAAACACCAAACTAATGGGATAAAAAATTTGGGAAATCTTTTTGTATAATATTTTTATCTTATTTTTTTGTTTAATTTTTTTATAACTTGATATATTATTAAAATGATTGGTTCTTGTAATTTATGTGAGGCTTGTAATATTAAATGTATTTACTCATTTAATAACATGTGAAAATTATATAAAAGAGTAAAATAAAAAAAAATTATCCTTATAGCACCCAAAAAATTTTAATGACTGTAGTCTTTTAGCTGGAGCTGATCGGGATTTATATAATGGGGTGGGGAAAACCTTTAAACAACATTTTATAACTAAAAAAAAAAAGTAATAAATGACTTATTGATTTAAGTAAAAAGAATTTGATTTAAAAAAATAAAATATTTATTTAAATCTTGTAAATAAAAAGATAAATATAAAATATTTTTTTATGAAATTTAATGACTCAATTCTAAATTAATCAGTATTTAATATGATTTTTAAATATAAAAAATTAATTAAAAATAATAAAAAAGAGGGCAAACAAACTTGAGAGAAGCAAATTAAAAAAATGGGGAGTGGCTTAATTTGTTTGCCTTTCAATGGCTGTTGGAGGAAGGGAAAACTAAGACATTAGATAAGATCCTATCTTCTTTGTCTCTATAGTTCCGGACAATGCAAGGTACAAACCAAGCCAAAGGATATACATGATCTCATCCAAGTTTGGTTTTCTCTTTTGTGTTGGTGTGGCGCTTTCAGAGCTGGACCAATGTTTCACCAATTTGTGAAAGAAATCGAAGGAAGATATCATGGGGCGGCCAACGTCAGACATACACTAATAGCACGTCAGTCTCTTCATAAATCAGCTTTTTCTTTGTAAAGGTCATCAGTCTCTTGAAATTATTGCTCTTCGAATTGGTCCCGTATTTTCAAAGGTATTCTGATAGGACGTTCATCTGAGTCATTTATTACGTGGACAACATAATTAATGGTTTGATGAAAATCCTGATTGATTTTTTGTTTTGTCGTTCCCGAATAGTAATAAAAATGTTTTAATTTTTTTTTTTTTATGTATAATTAGCTTTCATTTTTACCACATGAGTCAACTATATTGGGTATGAAAGAATCAATAGATTAAGCATGCAATGTGCCTTGATGAAAATTTTTT